GCATTATTTACATTATTCAAACTGTTATCCTCATTTTTATTGCCATATTCAGAACGTTTCGGCCTCTATATCTCTGAGATGTGGTATTATAATTATTTGTATTATTTACATTATTCGGCCTGTTATCCTCATCTTCATTGCCATATTCACAACGTTTCGGCCGTTGTACACTCCAGCCTTCTTCAGGTGATTAGAATTTCTAATCAAACTCTTTACTTCGTCAACCGGGGTAGCTTGTTCTATTTCCACGTGCCATGCCTTTAATATCTGTTTATATCTCTGAGATGAGGTATTGTGATTATTTACATTATTTACATTATTCGTACTGTTATCTTTATCGCCATTGCCATATTCTCAGTGTTGCGGCCGTTGTACTCTCCGGCATTCTTCAGGTGACTGGAATTTCGAAACGAACCCTTTATTTAATGGTTGCTGAGACATTAGTTTTATAAGTCCCAAAAATTCATGAACAGATGTCCCGAAGGACACATGTCTCAGTGGATAAAGACGTTGGTTAGATCCAGTGACTAGACCCAAAGAGTTGTGAGTTCAATACCAAAAAAATTTGAGTTGAGTTAAAGGGAAAAAACTGAGACACCCGGAAGAGGTATGGCACGAGGAACTAGAACAATCTACCCCGGTGGATGAAATAAATGGTTTAATTCGAAATTCCAATCACCTGAAGAAGTACAACAGCTGTTATGAATATAGCAATGAGGATAACAGTCCGAATAATGCAAATTATGTAATAATGTAATCTTCCAAAAACGAGGGAGTAGCAGAAACCGGATGATAGGCAAATCTATCCGAAAATGATCCCCAATCCGTTGTTAACTGGGGCAAGAAATGGCTCGAAAATGAAACTCTTGTTCTTTAATCGCTTTAGAGAACCATTTTTGTCCTTTACTGGCACGGCTGATGCTAGCCTCCAAGGGACCAACTTATTGCGCTGCCTTGGTCTCTCGTTTTCTGCTGACATAAAGAGGAGGGATTATATTGAATATTTCTCGTCAGAATCCATCTTCCGCATTTATAAATCTACCATTGGTTCATTCATTGAATATCGCTGCCAGATCTCGTCTCGTTCTCCTGATATATATATATATATATATATATATATATATATATATATATATATATATATATATCTAGCAGGAGAACGAGACTCCTCTCTCTCTCTCTCTCTCTCTCTCTCTCTCTCTCTATCTATCTATCTATCTATCTATCTATATATATATATATATATATATATTTATCGCTTCCAAATCTCGTCTCGTATTCCTGCTATATATATATAGCAGGAATACGAGACGAGATCTGGAAGCGATTCCCAATGAATGAACCAATGGTAGATTTATATAATATAATTTACATAATTATAGATTTATATAATATAATTTATATATATATGTTTATAATTTATATAATTATATATATAATTATATTATATTATATTATATTATATTATATTATATATATATATATATATATATATATATATATATAAAGTCAGGAAGAAAGAAGGGATAATAATCATGATTTCTTTTCCTTTATATACCTCTACTTTTACGCTGAAGAAGGCAAAAACTTAATAAAAACTAAGTTTTAAATCAAGATTTTCATGGCAATTGTCCTAATGAGATCTCTTGGTACCTCGGCCGGGTGAATTTAAACGTACTACTAGATTGGCAATTAGGTCCCATCGTTTTACTGTTGAAATAGCAAGATGTAACCGTAAGTTCTATTCTAATAATTTCTTTTCTCGCACCTCTCACCTGTGGAACTCTGCTTCAATTTCTTACTTCTTCAACAATTTAAATGCATCGTCAATTGTCATCTTCTGCCTTCCTGAATACAGTTCTTTTATTGTACTTTCTCCTCGCTAAAATCTCATTCTCTTCCACTCCCAGTTAAACACTTGCGTCTTAGTAGCAGTATTGCCTTGCTTGGGGTGAAATTATTTTTATAAAAAAAAAAAAAAAAAAATACAGTACCACATCTCAAAAATTCTCAGGCAGAAGTTTCTTTTAACTTATTTGTTAATTGCTTACGCGTTGTTGCAATTAGTGCGATCTTCTTAGATGATCTGGATCTTTTGTGTTAAGTTACCCGACATTAATGTAAAGTTACTTATTGCGAATATTAATTCACCCCCAAAATTATAAATTTTATTAGCAGTTTAACCCGTCTTCGACCGGCTGTTTCATTACTGGGAATTTTTGCCGTTCACTTGGACAGTTTAAGTTGAAAGTCAAGTCCACCCGAAAATCAACATTAGCAACAACATTTGGGTACAACTGAGGCACATCCCCAAATGGGGTGTTAAAAATTTGAATAGAGGAGTGGCCTGGAAAAGGGCCATTTTTGCATTCTCAATCTTGCAAGGAAGGGACCTCTTCCATATGATATTTTTATTTATAATATATTTTTTTTATAATTCTAATAATCTTTTGCGTTAGATTTCAACTCTCTAAATTGATTGTACACTGTTTTTTTAAAGACATTAAATTTTTCCTTTGATTTTTGCGCAAAGTGTAAAAAAAATCATTTATTTCGATTTTTCACCTTCAAGGTTGTAATTTTTTCCAGCCAATTTGGACTCAAAACCAGCACTGAAGAATTATCTGTCAAACAAAAGAAAATTCATCGAAATTGGATGAAAACTGGAAACGCATAAACAACATCCGACCACACACGCACATACACACACATTTTGAGAATTAGATATTAAAGTTTGTGAGCTTTTTAATTAAATTTTTGGCTCTCTTTGGAGGTTATAAATTTTAAATCAAAATTTGTTTAGCTTGCCTCGCAACAACACTGACCCTAAGAATGAAAAATTATCTAAAATTAGGGAGTTATTAACATTTCGTAAATGTGGATGATATTCAAGGTAGTCTCAAGGAATTTTTTTTATAGTTTTAAAAAAATCTGACCCCCACACTTAGAAATAACGCATCCGTGTCGCCCATGTTTGGGTCGATCGCAAAGGTCAACCCAACCGGAAGGGCCTCACTCTGGGAAAATATGATATTAGTAAATATAAATTCTTTTTATTTTGGAGTGAATTAACAGAAAAGACCCAATGGCCTGAATTTTTTGACGAAAAATGCATATTATTTTTTTATTACTAAAGCGACAGCTGAAATGTTTGGGACACATTATAAAAAAGGAGGACTTGGAAAAATTGACACTCATAAGAGAAATCGAAGGCAAGAGATAGGAGGCGGCGAGCTTGATGAAATGGGAATAGACGATGGACTAAAAAGTGGTAAAGACTAAAAAAAAAAGCAGGAAAATGATAGGTTGTTATGGAGGGCCATGATTATCAATGTTTTGAAGGGAGACGGTAGAGAGAAGTTGATTTCTTTCAACAACAATTTTTTTTTATCGCTTTGCTGTTCATTTTTTAATGAGTATATAAAAGCAAAAGTTTTTTTTGGCCAGTATGGGGCTCGAACCCACGACATTCGCGTTATTAGCACGACGCTCTAACCAACTGAGCTAACCGGCCAGATGGTCTCTTGCGTTTATCGCTATAACATAAAGCGACGGTGTCTGTGTTATTTGTACTAAAAAAAACGATTATATATTTTTTTTAATTCCATTCATAATTCTCTCTACTCATGTGAACATTACAGACTTGGATACAATTCTGGGTCAGAAATCAATTTTAAAAAGAAGCATCATTTCTGGTGTAAAAATGTCTGAATATTCCAAAAACGGCATTAAAAAATTTACGAAAACCTATCGTTTAGGAGATATTGGCAATATTATTTGGGTCTTTTCTGTCTCGGTTACAGCCCGGCCGACATTTTGTCTTTCCTCTTAATAATCATAGAATAATCATTTGGACTTTAAAACTTTGTTTTTTTATTAAGTTTAGGACATTATTATGATTATTACAAAATATCAATAAAAATAGCGGAAAGTCCACCTTTTAGGAGGGTATTGACAATCTTATTTGGATCTCGTGTACGTGTACACTGTACAGCTTGGCCGCCTAATTATCCAGTTTTAATGTTATTTTTGGAATAATAATCCTGCTTTTTTATGTACCTCCACTTTTACGCTAAAAAAAGGCCCCAAACAAAGTTCTAAAGTCAAAATGTTTATGTTTAAGAGGAAAGACCGAATGTCGGCCGGGCTGTAGTCGAGACACAAATAAGTCCCAGCTAAGATTGCCGATATCTTCTAAAAACGGTAATTTTTGACGCTGTTTTTGTGGAATATTCAGGTATTTTTACACCAGAAATGATGCTTTTTTTTTTTTTTTTTTTTTACAAATTAGTTTCTGGGTCTTAATTAGCAATTTTACCCAGTCTTGGACTAGCAAGAATGTATGACTTGGACTGGAGAAAGACAACGACTTAAATAAAACAAAATGGATTGCTGACAATGACGGTGACGAAGAATGTGTCGCATCCACCTGTTTAGCAACCGGAAGTGGATTAGCTCCCTTCACTGATAATGGTTTTGTTACGTAACGCTCGATACCAGTGTTTCTCAATTTTAACAAAATTTTTAAAGTTTCAAAAAACAACATATATATAATACATAAAAATTTGATGAATAGTTCTGGAATACTAGTAAGGACCATTGCTTTAAGAAAAGATGTTTTCTAAATTTCTACTTAATTTCTTAGGCAAATAAATAGGAAAGGCAAGCCAAGTTACGTTGTCATAACAATCTTATATCAGTGAGTCACTTATGTACTCTGCATTAAACTGACCAGGCGGATTTTTTCCCCCGCAGTAGGTTGCCCTTTCTTTCTGCGGTAGACCAGTTGCCATCCAAGGCTATAGAACCCAGTCTGTCCTGCTATTTGCCTATAGCTGAGGAAAAAGAAAAGGGGTCATACTTTTCCCAAAGGTATTAGCACGTAAGTGAATGCAATGGATTCGACTGGAATTCGAACGGCTCTCTGATTCCTCACTCCGAGCCGCTATCCATTACTCCAACGTGCCTCCTAACAATCTTATTAACCTCCCCCTACGAATATGCTGCTGATCCTGTCACCACAACAAATATAATCCCCCTCCCTAACTTCCGCCTTTTGGTGTTGATGTCTTCTCTTCCTGTTTTTGTTCGTATTTGCTTTCTTTTCCTCTTTTCGCATCTTCCTTCTTAGAAGGCCATTGCCTTTCCTTCACTTCTTTACTTACTCTCTCTCCCTCTCTAGGAAAGATGATGTGAATCTATTTTTCCTTTCTTTTCTTTGCCATCTGCCCCGAGTTTGACGGTCGAGTATATCCCGTCATTTCTGTTGTGTTGAGCAAAGCCAGACGTCCGTTTTGTTATTGTGGCGAGGAAATGAATTCAAAGAAAACATAACAACAGCTAATAATTTGAATAAGATAACCTCGCCTTTAATATGGAATCATATTCGGCAAATTTTTACTATTACATCCGTTTCCCTTTCGAGGTAAAATTTAAATTTTTTCTATGTTTTTGTGGGTTTTGAACGAATCTGGGTAAATTTGCAGATAACGCCCCAATGACAAATTTTAAAAATATGCATTGTTCCTGGCGTAAAAAAAGTCTAATTATTGCAAAAATAGCAATTAAAAGTAAGGAAATTCTACCGTTTAGGAGATATTGTCAATCTTATTTGGATCCCGGGTACAGCCTGGTCTCCATTACTGCGCGAAAGTTTACCCATTTACTGGAACGCACAGATAATGCCCTAGTGACAAATTAAAAAAAATATTTCTCTTGTAAAAAAGCCTGATTATTATTAAAATAGCAATAAAAATTGAAGAAAGGCTAGTTTTTAGGAGATATTGCCAATCTTAGTTGGGTCCCGGGTACAGCCTGGCCCGCCTGAAGCAACATATTCCTAAGGTCAATCCATCACCATACCGAGCACCTTCATAGATTCCTGACTGACCAATCAATCGCACTAACAAACCAGCGTCCACAACGTTATCTTGTATAAGTAGGAGTCCTGAGTTTTAGAAACATCAGATTGGCAGGTTTACGGGGTTGGAGAAAGTCATTGGTTGATGTTTCAACCAAAGAGCACAATATACAGTCATTATTTGCGGTTGATACGAAGGCTATTGATACAATGGTTACGCACCTATTTTTATGAGTAAACATTTTCAATGTACATTTAGGCAGTTCGTTTTATGATATAATAGTTATAAATGTAAGTGTAGATAAACTAACTGATTAGAGAAGCGATGATAAAAGTATTGTACACATAAAAGCAAGTGACAAATGCACAACCCATTTCCCATTTGGCGTTTATTTCTTGCTGATACCAGTTGAACTTATTGCTCTTTCGCCGAGTAAAAGTGTCGTCTGCTTTTCCCAGAAAGACGACAAATTATTCGAAGCCATGAATTTCTCCAATTGTCTGACAACGTTGCTCGCTTTCATATGGCTTTCTTCCTTTTGTGACGGTAAGAACATTTTATATTCAATCTAAAAATGTATTTTGCTTTTTGTTCAGGCATTTCGTTTATATTTCATTACTGTACCAAGGTTTTTGACTGGTCCGATAGGAGTGCAGAGAAAAAAATGGCCGCGTTAATATTCCATGTTAACTGGTATCATTTGCTTTTGCCTGGGTTCAAACAGTCACCTTTGGTGGGAAATTAACTCTGTCTATTTTTCTTTGTTAAGTGTTTACATCAGTCTTAATTTTCTATCTATCTATCTAGCTTACGGACATATCTCGTTGAAACATTGGTTCTCGTAAGGTCACCGAAGTTAAGCAACGTCGACTCTAATTAGTACCCAGATGGGTGTTAAGTGATGATTTATTTTTAAAAAATTATTTGACTCCAGTAGCAATCATTGAGTCTACAACAAGGCACGGTCAATTGTGACTATAATGTTTAGTATACGCAACGCCAGGGTTACATACCGGTTTTGAATTCAGAGTTATATTTCTCATAGCCTGGGTGCCAATCATGGCTTGAGTGCTATCCTGCTATTTAACCTGTAGTTGGAAAGAGAGAGATGAATTCATATCTTTCCCAAGGGTATTTGTGAGAAAGTGAATGCGACAAACTCGGACGGACGATTTCTCGTTTGAAGACGCTAAACTTTGTACGACCTGCTCATCCTGAATTAGTCGTCCTTAAATGCTCACTCTGGTAGGCCTTGTGGCAGACTTTGTCAAGTTTGGTCAGTAACCTATTAAGTTTGCTTAGTGGTTGAAAAACATCATGAAACAGTATTCGAATTTTTTGTACTGATTCTCAAAACAAGTAACTTTAGATAGATAGATAGATAGATAGATAGATAGATAGATAGATATCCAAGTATAGGATTGATGTATACGGAATAAATTCCAATAATCAGAAAATATTATTCTTAAAAGAGTGCTCAATGGAGAGTAGAGCAAATATATAATTTATTCGAAAATTACTACATATTTATTTTATAAAATCACAACAAAAATAGCCATATTGTTTCAACGCTTCTGGTGTCTTATCAAGTGATGGTGTTGTTATTGTACATTCAACACCATCATTTGATACGACACCAAGTTCAGAGAGATCGTGTACACAATTACATTTCACTCACAATGAGTGAAATGTAATTGTGTAGACGGAACTCCTCCTCCTCCTCCTCCTTCTTCTTCTTCTTCTTCTTTTCTTTCTTTCTTTCTTTCTTTTCTTCTTCTTTCTTTCTTCTTCTTCTTTCTTTCTTTTCTTCTTTCTTTTCTTCTTTCTATTCTTCTTCTTTCTTTCTTTTCTTCTTCTTCTTTCTTTGTTGTTGTTGTTGTATCCGTTCACTTTCTGTTCTTATTTTGCACTCTGTACCGAAAGACATTGAAAGTATTTGGGAAAATAAAAATTTTCTATAGCTGCCAAGAAATTAATCGGTACACTTGAAAGGATTAAAATTAAAATAAATAGATAAATTACGTCTACATTATCTAACCAAACAGGCTTGAAGGAAAATATGCCTTTCTAAATGCACACACACACACACACACACACACACACACACACACACACACACACACACACACACACACACACACACACATATATATATACATACAATATACATATAGATATATATTAGAGTGTGCAGCTTATATATTATATCATAAAGAAGTAATTTATACAAAAGAATTAATTAGCAATGCTAATGTGATTAATTGCAAAATCATTAACATTGCTAATTACCTCTTTGTATAAATTTTATATATATATATATATATATATAAGATAAATTATATATATATATATAAGATAATATATATATATATATATATATATATATATATATATATATATATATATATATATATTGAACAATAAGAAAATTAAAAATTAAAAATTAAAAATTAAAAAATAAAAAATTAAAATCATTAGACACACTGGGTTGTAGATTAATATTCTTTCGTTTTTTTTATTATTATTATTCCATTTAAATTCCTCGACTAGTTTCGACCGAAATGGCCATCATCGGGAGGCGAAATATTTCTGCTTGTTGTTAGCAATGAACTACAGAAATGAATGTCTTTTTGTTGGAGAAAATGAACTTTTGTCTGTAGTTTTCATTTGTTTTTTTATTTTTTTATCTTTTTAACATGAATCTTTTAACATTCCTTGTGTTGGTCAAACAGTCTCTTTTAAGTTGTTATTTGAGATAAGAACTGGATAAGATACATTTTATCCTGAATTCTCTGGTCAGTTTGACAGTTTTATTGGACCTGGTGAGGGGATGTGTCTTTGTTTAGTGTTTTGTGTGTGTTATTTGGTTCTTAGGGAGTGAGTGAGTATATGATATGTGTAAGCGTGTGCATTGCTGTAGGTGTGTGTTATCATTTGGCTCATTAGGGAGTGAGTGAGTATGGTGTGTGTACGTGTGTATAATCGTGTGGGTGAGTGTATAAGTGTGAGGCCTCCATTCCTCCTTAAGCATGTCTGTCTTGTGTGGGTGAGAAATGTGGGTAGGTTTTGATTTGATTGTTACCATTATATGTTGTTAAATTTGTGATTTAGCCTGGCTGGGTATTGTGTTTTTTAGACGTTGTATCCACTTATTTTCATGGGACTCTAAAATTTTTTCTAATGTTATCTGCTCTGAACTTTTCTATTCTCTCAATTATAGTGAATCTGGCATGGGTTTTGAAATCGTGTTTTTCTAGGCGGAAATGTTGTTCTACAGGTAATAACTGCTCATAGGGAGTCGATTTAATTCGCTTACGATAATTATTAATTCTGTAGTTAAAGGGCCATTCAGATTTTCCTACATATAGTTTCTGGCATAGTGTGCATTCTAGGAGGTAAATTATGTTATGACTTCTACAGTTAGAATCGTGGTAGATTTTGAAAGTAGATTTAGTGATTGAGCTAGTTAATGAATTCGTGTATTTAATATGGTTGCAACATAAACTTCTTTTGTTGTTACATGGTTGGGAAAATCCTGTTGTTTTTGTTCTCAGTTTCTTACGGATTACCTTGTCCCCTGAAATGTGGTTACTACCTATGATTTCTTTTAGGTTCTTAGGTCTACGATATGCCAGAAGGCCGGGTTCCTTAAGCAGTTTTTTTAGGTCTGGTTTGAGATGTAGTATTTCCCAGCGACGTTTGATTATTTGGGATAGTGGAGGCAGAGTGGGATTGAAAGTGGTTACTAGAGGGATGCGGCTAGATTTATTTTTAATCTTGTATATTAGGGTGTCTTCTCTAGGTGTGGAAATTGCTTTTATTTATTTGTTCCCTGATTAGGTGTTGTTTATAGCCACGTGTTGTGAATTGATGCTCCAGATTTTCAATGTGTTTATTTAATTCTTTATTGTTGGAACATATCCTTCTGAGTCTAAGTGCTTGTGAATAGGGAAGGTTCGCTTTGAGGTGTTTAGGGTGGGAAGACTTAAAGTGTAGATAGTTGTGGGTGTCGGTGATTTTAGTGTGTAGTGTCGTTTGTAGTTTCCTGTTTTCATCTATGTAAATGCGGGTGTCTAAAAATGTTACTGATGTTGTGGATTTTTTCATATTCAAACTTAATTGAGTCGTGCACTGTGTTTAGGGTCATAAGGAATTGGGTAAGTTTGTCATCACTACCCGTGTATACAAAGAATATATCATCGATATATCTTGCATAGAATACGCAGTCGCTACCAATGATTGGATAGATATGGGTTTCCTCAAATTTTCCCATGAATATTGTAGCATATGATGGAGCTGCAATGGTGCCCATGGCACAACCTCTTATTTGAAGGTAGTGTGCTCCATTGAAGTTGAAAGTATTCAATGTAAGGACATGCTCCATGAGTTTTATGATGACTTCTGTGGGGGTCCTGTTTTCTTCTTTTTTAGTAAGTGCTTCCTGAAGGGCGGCCAGCCCTTCGATGTTTTTAATGTTTGAATAGAGTGACCTAACGTCCATAGTCACTAGAATAGCTTTCTCTGGTATTGTTTGTATGTGATTAATTTTGTTCAGTAGATCTGTTGTGTCTCTGATGTAGGATTTTACTTCCTTAGCTAGCGGTTGTATGTAATGGTCTATGTATTTGGAAATTTTTGTCGTGTGGCAGTTGAACGATGAAATAACCGGCCTTCCTGGATTGTTGCTTTTTGTGTATTTTAGGAAGGAGATAGAAGCGGGCAGGTGTAATGTTTGTGGGTGTAAGTGTTGTGCATGTTTCCTTGTCGATTAGATTGTTGCGAAGCATTAAGTTTAGTGAGCTAGTTAATTCTTTTTTGGTATTCTGGAGGGGATCTGTAGGTATGCTTTTTGTAGGTTTCTTTGTCGGCTAGCTGTTTGTTGGCCTCTTTAACGTATTCTTCGATTCCCCAGATCACTGTCGCACCCCTTTGTCAGCCTGTGTTATGATTACGTCATCCCTATGTGTCAGTGTATCGAGGGCTATACGTTCTCCTTCAGTCATATTGTCACGTGGCAGCTTACGTGCTATTGTTTTCTTTATGTCATTTGTTACGGCTAGTTCGAATGTCTGTATAGTAATGTCTGTGTTTTGTGGGGTGTAGGTAGTATCCTTCTCTTTTAATGTCTCAAGTATAGAAGGTGTATGATCATTTTCCCCATAGTGGGCTTTTTAACCGTATTCTTCTAAAGAAGGATTTCAGGTCCTTAGCCAAGGTGTCTTTATCAAACCTTGGGGACTAGGACAAAAGCTTAGTCCTTTATTTAATACCCTGAATGTATTGAGTGAAAATTTATTGTTACTCAAATTTATAACTCGCCCGTATGGGTCAAGTTTGAATTTGCAAGCATGGCGAAGTTCTTTTGTAAAAGCTCGAAAGCTAGCATCATATCTCCTATTAGGGATGCTATACCCCCACCCAGGTGTCCTGGTTGGGGGCTTATTCCGTTTTTTTTAAGGTTGGGTGTGTCTGTTGTTGACTGTCTACTAGGGGCCAATCTAGGTGGTCTGGGCTGTCTAATGGAGTTATGCGTTCTGTAGAAGGGCTGCTGTGTTTTGGTTTGTGTATGTTTGTACGGCACCCTAAGGATGTCCGCGTAGGTTAGTGGTTTGTTTTGTGTGTGTGTTTGTATTGAGGTTCTAGCTATTGTTGATGGTGGCGGTGTTGTTATTGTTGGTTGTGGTGCTGCTGTTTGTAGGTGTACTTATTTGGTCTGTTTTGTGTTTGCATTGGTTGTGTGGTGGCGGTGTTTTGTTGTTTTCTTTTTGGATATGGTCGTTCACTTTTTTCAGAGTTTGGCTTCATTTCTTTTTTGTTCCTCTGTCTGGAGGAAATATTCCATCTTAATTTCCTTTGTTTTTCAGTTTTTGTTTTTTGTAGTTCCCTCACTGTTTGGTCTGTGTGGGCTTTTATGACATTCTTGATGTTGGTATATTCTTCCGTGTCCGTTTGTTTTTTTATTTTCTCATCGAGCAGGTTGATTTCTGCTTTTGTTGCGGTTATGTTTTCTTGGCAGAACTGCATGGTATCCTGCATGAGCTCCCTGGAGAAGTCTTCTAATTTACGGTACCATGATGCTAGAAACGCGTCATTGTGGTTACCTATAGAAGGTTCTAAATCAATCCTGAAATTAGTTGGTACTAATCGATCCTTCAGGCATATCCCAATATATTCCCGGTGTGATTCATACCTGGCTAATTTGTTGGTTGCTCTATTCATGCGGATAGCCAATAATTCTGTGTTTATTGGTTCTGTTGGTGTTATGTCCTCGGCATTTGGTTCAGTCCCGTGTCCATTATTCATGATTATATTTTTGAACAATAAGAAAATTAAAAATTAAAAATTAAAAAATTAAAATCATTAGACACACTGGGTTGTAGATTAATATTCTTTTCGTTTTTTTTATTATTATTATTCCATTTAAATTCCTCGACTAGTTTCGACCGAAATGGCCATCATCGGGAGGCGAAATATTTCTGCTTGCTGTTAGCAATGAACTACAGAAATGAATGTCTTTTGTTGGAGAAAATGAACTTTTGTCTGTAGTTTTCATTTGTTTTTTTATTTTTTTATATTTTTTAACATGAATCTTTTAACATTCCTTGTGTTGGTCAAACAGTCTCTTTTAAGTTGTTATTTGAGATAAGAACTGGATAAGATACATTTTATCCTGAATTCTCTGGTCAGTTTGACAGTTTTATTGGACCTGGTGAGGGGATGTGTCTTTGTTTAGTGTTTGTGTGTGTGTTATTTGGTTCTTAGGGGAGTGAGTGAGTATGATATGTGTAAGCGTGTGCATTGCTGTAGGTGTGTGTTATCATTTGGCTCATTAGGGAGTGAGTGAGTATGGTGTGTGTACGTGTGTATAATCGTGTGGGTGAGTGTATAAGTGTGAGGCCTCCATTCCTCCTTAAGCATGTCTGTCTTGTGTGGGTGAGAAATGTGGGTAGGTTTTGATTTGATTGTTACCATTATATGTTGTTAAATTTGTGATTTAGCCCGGCTGGGTATTGTGTTTTTAGACGTTGTATCCACTTATTTTCATGGGACTCTAAAATTTTCTAATGTTATCTGCTCTGAACTTTTCTATTCTCTCAATTATAGTGAATCTGGCATGGGTTTTGAAATCGTGTTTTCTAGGCGGAAATGTTGTTCTACAGGTAATAACTGCTCATAGGGAGTCGATTTAATTCGCTTACGATAATTATTAATTCTGTAGTTAAAGGGCCATTCAGATTTTCCTACATATTGTTTCTGGCATAGTGTGCATTCTAGGAGGTAAATTATGTTTTGACTTCTACAGTTAGAATCGTGGTAGATTTTGAAAGTAGATTTAGTGATTGAGCTAGTGAATGAATTCGTGTTTTTAATATGGTTGCAACATAAACTTCTTTTTTGTTGTTACATGGTTGGGAAAATCCTGTTGTTTTTGTTCTCAGTTTCTTACGGATTACCTTGTCCCCTGAAATGTGGTTACTACCTATGATTTCTTTTTAGGTTCTTAGGTCTACGATATGCCAGAAGGCCGGGTTCCTTAAGCAGTTTTTTTTAGGTCTGGTTTGAGATGTAGTATTTCCCAGCGACGTTTGATTATTTGGGATAGTGGAGGCAGAGTGGGATTGAAAGTGGTTACTAGAGGGATGCGGCTAGATTTATTTTTAATCTTGTATATTAGGGTGTCTTCTCTAGGTGTGGAAATTGCTTTATTTATTTGTTCCTGATTAGGTGTTGTTTATAGCCACGTGTTGTGAATTGATGCTCCAGATTTTCAATGTGTTTATTTAATTCTTTATTGTTGGAACATATCCTTCTGAGTCTAAGTGCTTGTGAATAGGGAAGGTTCGCTTTGAGGTGTTTAGGGTGGGAAGACTTAAAGTGTAGATAGTTGTGGGTGTCGGTGATTTTAGTGTGTAGTGTCGTTTGTAGTTTCCTGTTTTCATCTATGTAAATGCGGGTGTCTAAAAATGTTACTGATGTTGTGGATTTTTCATATTCAAACTTAATTGAGTCTTAATATGTATATATATATATATATATATTCATGAATTATTCACACAAAAACAAATGCAAAGGTTAATGATTTAATTGGCGAGAAATCCATCATCGCAAACAATTCAAATAATATACAAAAACCTCCGTATCCGTTATGAATGAAAAGATCCTTGTTTCTATAAACTTCTGCCGTATTAGTTCTTATTTTTACTACAAGCTTTCGTCTGTTCCTACAGACATCTTCAGGTACGGAATAGATGTTGTTCTTGTTTTATCTCTTAGTAATAAGAGGACAACGAAAATATATGTATTGTTGTATTCGAAAATGCTATTGGAAATGAGTTATTGTTTTTGGAGCGCGCAGTAGCAACGCTGAGTTTGATTTTAAATTTTAATATGTATATATATATATATATATATATAAGATTAATAAAAATATAAAATTTCTCACTTAGCTGTTTGATGTTATTTTCTGCATCTCGATTCTAGAGTTTCGTAGACGAACCGTTGAGCAATCGCTCCGTCCACTCGTCAGAAGGTATGGTAGAAACAAAACTTAAGACATATAATTTATACTGCTTCCGCTATGAAGCAACCTCGGTTTTCCATACTTTAAATGCTTTGCTAATGCTTTAGTACAGAATTGCATGAAAACTCAGAAAGAAAGTGGTTGTTAGTAAAAGTTTATAGACAGAATAGGACTATCATATGCATAATGTAAATATATTTTTAACTTTTTACTCTATAAATGCTTTTATCTATTGTGATGAGTTTTATTTGCAATCTTTCTGCTTCAAGTAAAAAGTGTTTTTAATATTTTTCTATATTTCTGAGATGAGGTATTATGTACACTATTTACATTGCTCGGACTATCATCCTCATTTTTTGTTGCCATATTTATCACAACGTTTCGGGCGGGAGTGCCACTAACACGCAAGAGGTTACAGAGGATTGAGAACAAGAGTAAAGAGGCATGTTTGAGGAAAGGACACGGAGAAGGACGATGAACAAGTTCAGCGTATCAGATGTCGATTGACATTACACTTGAATATTTGAAGATTATCGGGAAAGCAAGTAAGAGGAAGGGAGTTTCACAGACGGGAAGTGCGAGAGAAGAAGCTGTTTGAGTAGAAGAGACGGTTACATTTAACCGTTTTGACAGTGAAAGGGTGGGACCTAGATGCCATCCTGGTAGCTCGCTTAAATTCATGCAGTCTGGGAACCAGTGAAAGTAGCTGGTCAGAATAATTGCCGTGAAAATATTTGTAGAAAAGACAGAGGGAAACCACAGCACGTCTGTGGGATAAATTGTAGATTAGATGCCAGATCAGGACCTATCACATTGCATATTCGTCTCTGGATTTTGTCGAGGACCTCGAGACGTACAGCGGGGGCACCAGTCTATATATGACAGCAATATTCCATGCAAGGACGAATGGTTGATTTATACACTGAAAGTCAGGAAGAGAAAAGTTGCCAGTGGCCAAGAATTGAAGTATTACAAATATAATTTGGCTATTATACGTACAATATGTATGTAATGTTTGTAGTTTTATTTAGAAATACTTTGGAAATCATTAAGGATTGTCAGTCGTCAGGAATTAAAATAAGTGTTACAGACAGAATAAAGTTAATATACAATGTTAAACATTCAGCATATCTCTATCTATAAAAGGCAAGATGTGTATGTGTAACGAATGCACGGCCGCAATTTTTGACGGATTTGCACCAAAATTTACATGCACATGCTTCAAGTTAGCGGGAAGGCCAAGACCGACTTTGCATTTCCCAACTCCCATCGATAGTGGAAATAATCGATTTTTTCACGCTTCTACGGCAGTTTTCATGTACTTTGCGGCCATTTTCTACTGGCCAGAGTGAGAGCCTATAGCTGGCTGCCACGAATAGGCAGGAAGATTCTATTGGTCAACGTGAGAATCAATAGCTGACTGACACGAATGTTAACTAGCATGCTAGCATGCAAAAAAAAAAAAAAAAATCGATAGCTGCTTTCGTCACAAGTGGAAAAAAATTTAAATCTGCATGGCACTTTACTCCAATTGGCTCATTCAAACTTAAACTCAACGTTGATTCTGATTCCGCATAACTGGGTTGGGTGTGAAAAGTATTTGTTGTTAACATTTTTTTCATTCGGTTTTTCCAGTTCGAGTCCTTTTTTAAAGCTAATCGTTTTGTGTTCATTTTGTTTAGTTCTTTTTTCGTAACAGATTTAATGTTTAGTATAGAGCTTAGAAAAAATTTGCAGTATGAGATAGGCAAGACGTAAGGCATGTAGCAACATTAGCACGGCAAAGGACACTCCTTTAAAGGCAAGGAAGGGCAAAAATATTTTAAGTCAAGTGATAGCGATTGCTGTATGAGTCGTACGATTTTTGAATCAAGCACGGGCAACGCCGGGCCATGCTGCTAGTAAATCTATAAAAATGAATAAATACTAAAATATGTTTTTTTTTTTTTTTTTTTTTTTTTAACAGCTTCTCTTGATTGCACATTTAAAGATGACTTCTGTGACTGGAATCAAACAGTTAAACAGTGTTCTTGGATGTTGAGCTCCTTCTGTCCTGACCTGGTTCATGGTAAGGGATTCTTTTGGAAGCGTTTTTTTTTTTTTTTTTTTTTCATGAGCAATTTTTCATGAGTTTATACCAATGTTTTCATAAAATAAACTATTTTAACCTCCGTACATTATTGTTCGGTTTTTACTCGCCAGACATTTTCGGCTGTATGGAGATTATGCCAAGAATTCTCGCCCAGCTTTCTCAGTGTTAAAAGAAGATGTAAAAAGATGTAAATTTTACTGTCGATAAAAGTAAATATTTGTTTGGGAAAATGTTTGATCGAGAATTTCATTCGTTTTTTTTTGGGGGGGGGTAATTTGCTTTTTATGTCCCGCGCTAAGTATTAGATTGGTGCAAAAATAATGTCGTTTTTTGACGTTCAACTTAAAGTCAAAAAACGACATTATTTTTGCACCAACCTAATATTTAATAAAAATTTCCCATATAATTAAATTTAGGTGTAAATGCACATGATTAATTCGAAAATAACAAAGAAATTTTGATAAAATCTACCGTTTAGAAGTTATCGAACAATAAAAGTTCGGACTCATTCGCGTTACGGCACGGCAGCCATTATTGGTGTTGTTTGCATACATTCGTTGCTGATTAGATTTGCGCAGAGAATTACCTTGTTAAGAGCCTTTTTACGGTTTTTACTTGACTCAATTATTGCGCAACTGAGGACTCAAGATTATTCCGCACCAAATATATGCAAACAACACCAGTAATGGCTGCCGTAACATAAACGAGTTGGAACTTTTATTGTTGCTAACTCCAAAGCGGTAGACTTTATCAAAATTTCTTTATTATTTTCGAATTAAACATGTACATTTACACCTAGATATAACTATTTAGGAAATTCTTTATTAGATACTTAGCGCGGGGCTTAAAAAGCAAATTACCCGTTTTTTTAGCTTTTTTTAAAAAAATCTTTTATACAGTTGTCTCTAAAGTCTGAATACATACCGTAATTTCCCATGTATAATACGCATTTTTTTCTACAAAATAATAAGCAAAATTGGGAGTGCGTATTATGCACAGCTACAAAATTTTTTAAAAATTACCGTTTCATAGGTCGATTTCAGTTACGAAATGACTACTCACCACAAACATACGAGAATTTGACACTAACATTCGGCGATCGCGACCCCATAAGGATATCAAATACAATCATATGTACCTAAAAATACTTACAAATGTAAAATAAAATAAGAATTATCATATAACTAAATTAAAATAATATTATCCTATGTTTAAAACCATTCACTGATCTTTGGACTGTCATAGCTGAAACTCCTCTTTCACGTGTCAAACGTCTTATGGATTGAGTTGGATCTTTTCTAATTGATATCTAGCTCCAAGTTAAAATGATGATCTCTCTTCCCGTAGTGACCCCCTGATCCAGATTTTTGTCTCTCCTGTTCCCTTTTTTTAAAAAACTTATTCACCATTCTCTTGCTGGTTCTTGAATGAACTTTGTAGATGGAAGCCAGATTATGAATGTTGGTACTATTACTGAAAGCCCGAATGATCATTTTCCTCTCACTATTGCCCATTTGGGAAGAGTCGGGGCTGACGCAAAACGATTTTAACCCGTTCTCGTTCTAGCTGAATAACTGGAAAGGTTCTTCAGTCATTCTTACGACAAGTGGTGTGAAGAAGGCGAAACGTCTTATCTGAAAACCTGAAAAAAAGAAACTCAATTAGTTTTTTTTTTTTTGTGTGTGTGTGTGTGTGTGTGTGTGTGTGTGTGTGTGTGTGTGTGTGTGTGTATTTTAGATATTAAACACTTTGTGGGATGGACGTTTACGTTGTTAGACGATTTGGACAATTTTTCTGTTACATCTGGTATATATATTCAATGTACTTGAAATAATATCTATTGAGTGATTTGTATTTTTTACGGCTTATCAATCTTTTACAGGTTATTTAAAGCCAGAAAGTATTTTTAGATTGTAAGATTTTTTTTGGAGATGATAATGATTTACTGATACAAGTCCTAATATTTAACCCATAGCTGGAGGGAGAAGAGATGGATTCATGCCTTTCCTAAGGGTATTTGCGTGTAAGTAAATATAACGAACCCAATTGGAAGTAGAATTTGGCCCTCCGATTTTTTGTTTATTGAAGTCTGCTTTATTTATTTACTAAGTTATGAACTAAAACAAATTACTGTACATGGATTCACGTTTAAAAATCCATCACCATTTTCTATTGGTATTAAATTTGTAAAACCCCTCTATAAAAATCATCCTTGTTAATGTCGATGTACTAATATGGAAAAGAATGAAAATTTTTCAATAATATAAGCATACTAGCAGTAGAGCCCGGGGATGTAACAGTAAGAGATAGATCAAGTATCGACCATCATAAAGACTGAAAAATAAAATTGATAAAGATTATTGTTTAAGGCTGACGAACACGCATGTCTTAATTAGTTTTTTTTTTGTTTTGGTTTATTTTTTTTTTTTTTGCGAATTGGTCAAACCCAAACTCAAACAGAAACATTGTTTTCAATCGTCTACCGATTGAATAGAATTTTATTATAAACAATTGTCTTGTAAATGGAATTTTTAAAGCATTCTGAATGTAAAATTAAAGAAAAAAGTGTGGAAGACAATAAGAAACACTACCTGCCAAAAAAAAGTGTTGTTGAAATCGGTTGAAAAATGTAGGAAATCCGATCCAATATATAAACGAACACACACACAACCTGGGTTTTATAATAAGTATGATTATTTGGAAAGCACCTTTTGAGTCGAACAGTCTTGGAAAAAGAGGCAATAACATTCTGACTTATGGTGAAAAGGGTGTATCGGGCACAATAGCTTGAGAACCAAGGCTTTAGTCTATGTAAATATAACCAAAGTTTTACGTATTTGCAAGAGTTTTCTCCCTTACATAATAATTTCTGTTCAGTCAGTTAAACACTATACATGACACACACTTGGGCGATCATGTCTCTTTTGATTTTTAGTTACCCTCATTTCAATTTCAAACATTTTCTTGAATTTCATTGGTTGTTAAATATAAAATAAAATTCGAGAAATTTCCATAACAAAACAATCAAATTTTGTGCAAAAGTAGGCTCAGCTGACGTAAAAAAAAGAAGCTTTCTCAAATTCATCCCTAATTTAAATGTTTCAAGAAATCCTATTGGCTAAAAAATAAAAAATACAACATTTCTCAGAAAAATTCGCAACAGCTACCAAGCCCCGTTGAGTCGTTTGGTCGTTAAAAAAAACTATAAATAGAAACGGTGAACGAATTTTCGTCGCATTTGAGACTCACACACGCGAAAGATACACACGGGAATTATGTGTCAAAATTGCGTCCAAAGAAACAAACTTTCTTTATGAGAGATTAGAAAAATTTACACAACAAACTTTTTCACTTAATATCTTTCATAGAAAAATCTTTTGTCTAAGTTAAATTCAACCTTTTTAATCAAAGGCAGACGACTTTTTTCGACATTGAACATTTCCGAAACAGCAAAGAACTTTTCCTCTTAAATATACCTTTGCACACATTATTATAAACAAAGAAATAGTAAATTGTGTATATAAAATTTAATTTGTTGTTTCAAACATGTATTTTTTGTCGTGATTGAATATCGTTACTGCTGGGCTCATAACCATTGTTGTTCATGATGACGGTCGTCTTTGAGTATAGAATCCAGAGGTTAACAGTGAATATTTCGAAGACAGTAGGGAAGCGTAGTTCAGGTTAGCAGAGCGTAGTTCAGTAGTTCTTCCTTCTGTTCTTTCGCCTGACAAGTTGGCACTGGACATTCGGAGAGAGTAAACAAAATGGCCGCCTTTATACACGACGGATTGAATATTTTACGTCTTCTGATTGGTTAACCTTCTATTGGTGGACTATAAAGTGAGTCAAGTCATTTGGGTTGGCTCACTAGTCTAATGTATCCAAAAATTGCAACAGTTACCATTTGGCCATTTTTTATAATCTATGTTTGTGGATATTGCATATTTTATTTGCAGCACAATCTTAAATATTCACACATCCTTCCTAAATCCACTACAGATTTATCACTGACGAGGCAAAAGATTTTCCTGAACTAGGATACCATTTCTTTCTGTGGTAGACAAATTGCCAGTAAAGGCTATAGAAACCAGTCTGTCATGCTATCCAACCCATAACGGGAGGGAGAAGAGATGGGTTCATGCCTTTTCCCAAGGGTGTTTAAGTGAATATAACAAACCCGATTGGAAGTGGAACTCTGCTTTTCAAACTCGACCAAATTATTAGGATGTTGTCGGTTGAATCCTTGATGTGTAAATTAGAAGCTTTTAGTTAAATAAAAAAGCATTTATTATTGGCTCCCAAATAATTGTTTATTAGATTAGAATTTTGGATTTGCTTCAAGTTATTATAATTGATAAGAAACAGAAATTCACGGTTCGAAAAAAGTATCAATCCACCTGTGTGTGAATATCTATCTATCTATCTATCTATCTATCATTTTTGCATATCGCTGAATCTATATAACCGAGTTTGTCCATATCAATCTCTGTACATATCTATCTCAGTTTATTCCTATCTATCTATCTATCTATCTATCTATCTATCTATCTATCTCAGTTTGTTTATATCTATCTATCTATCTATCTATCCACATATGTGTGTGTGTGAATATTGATCTAATATATTGACTGATATTTCAACCATTTTATTTTTCAGGTTGCATTTATGTCACCGACAACAGCGGTACGAATTGCTCTAGGGTTGGTCTGACAGCCGGTCTTGGAAGCCCGGGCATACGGGGGATTTGCTTTGAATATTTTATGTTCGGCGGTGGCGGGGGCACCCTGCTGGTCAAAGACAACTCGGGAAAGACACTGTGGTCATATTCCGACCCACTCGAACATCATTGGCGCCCAGTTCAAGTACTTCTGAGTCATAAAGAAAATACAAAAGTACGTCGTTCTATAATTTCGAAAATGCTTTTGCTAAAATATTTCTATAATTATTCATTTGTCTTGTATTTCTTTCATCTTAATTTCACTTGCTTTTTATCGCAACTACAACCTGCTTTAATGTCCGGGTAGCGTGACGGTTACCGGTGCAGAAGGGAGAATCGGTGAATTCCGGGTTAGTCTATTGCTTTCACTTTCACACAAATACCCTCGAGAAAGTCATGAATCCGTCTTTTTTTACGCCCACCCCGCAGCTATGGATTAAATAACTGGAGAGGCTGGGTTTTCTAGTCTTCGGGCGGTAACCAGTCTAGGGAAAGGAAAACTGAATTCAGAACTAGCCTGAAGAGAGATGGGCGTCGTCAGACTATCTTGCCCTCGACACACCCACTACAGCTACGGCAGTAGTACATGTAGTGTACTGACAACCCGAATGGTTTGTTAATAGCATGCATGACTAATTGCTATTTATTACACTGCAGTAAAGAACTGATTGGCTAGCTCATTAACCATTGCAAAAATGTCTATACTCTATAAAAAGAAATGCGGTCTGCTTTATGAATTAAAAAGTTGTGTGTGGCCCACAATGGTTGGCATTTTGGTCCAGATTAGGCTTACGGCCACATCACGTTGAAACACCGGTTGTCGTACGATCACCGAAGTTAAGCAACGTTGAGCCTGGTCATTACTGAAATGGGTGACCCCGTAGGAATACTGTGCTGTAAGCTTGGATGTGCGACTTGGAATTGCAAATCGGAGAGCCCTGTTCCAATTCCGGTTGGGTTCGTTATATTCACTTACGCACAAATGCCGTTGAGAAAGAGGTAAATCCACTTCTTGTCCCCCCCAGCTATGGGTTAAATAGTACGAGTAATCAGTAAAAGTCATTATCATCTCTAAAAACCTTTTGAAAATTTAAAAGTATTTTCTGGCTTTAAATAACCTGCAAATGGTTGATAAACCGTAAAAAACAAACCAATCAATCAAACTGGCTAAAATTTCAGTGTCGCCTTCGTTGCGAATATACACGAAAGCGAATATGTGTCTGACATTTAGTTGGCCACCTGACAGGATTGTTTAACTTCAGTGTATATTAATAGGCGCGCGGGCGTGTGATTTCAAACGTTTCGGCCAGGAGATCCGGGTTAAAATCTCACAATTTGCTACAGAAGTAAACCTTCGATGATTTGGATAGTTTTAATCAAGGAATTTTTTCTCTCGAAGATTCTCCTGAGTCTGGATGACCAAGTTCCATCGATGATGAGCTGCACACCGTAGTCGCCGAAAACCCTAAGCAAACTACACAAGAATTCGTAAAACTGTTCAATACACACTTTAGTTATAGAACACCTTCGTGAACTCGGAAAAAAGTATCTAAATTGGTCTCTCATTATCTGACTAATCATTTTAATCAAAGAGATTTGGTTTGGTCTGTTTCATTTTACGGCATATCAGCCTCAATGGGTTATTTAATGCCGTCAAGATTTTTAGGATAGGTTCGTATGAATAGAATATGTATTCTTTGAAAGAAATCAGTTTGGTTTGGTTTATTTTGTTTTACGGCATATCAACACCTCAATGGGTTATTTAATGCCGACAAGATTTTTATTGTTGGTAATATTTTTTTTTTTCAAAAATGTCTTGCTGGCAATAATTTTTCAAAAAAGTATTGTTCGTATTAAAACTTATTTTTATACATTTATAGTGTTTTGACTCCTTTTTGGGAGGTTAACTATTTGCTCATAGCTGGGATCCCGACAGGTGTTATCACCCCGGGTCAGAATGGACCTGGGAACACCAGCAATTAAGAGGTGGTTCCACGCTCCTCAAAATCAGAGGCCTTGCTGTCGGATGCAGTTTATCGTCATACCCAGGACCCGGATGTAGTTTATCGTCATCCCAATGACGCGGATGTAGTTTATCGTCATACCCAGGACGTTTTCTAATATTTCAAGAGTTCTTCATGTTGTAAGTTATCGAAAGCCATTGTACAATCCATGAAGCATGAATAAAAATAATCCTGCATTTGTATGGGTAATAATGAAAGTATATTAAACATAAAGATTTCCTTTTTTGTTCAAGTGTCTTGAATACTGTTTTATTATACTGACTTGAAAAGCGAATATTTCTTTGATCCTTTCCCTTTCTGGGAAGTGGCAAAAAGTAATTTTTAGTGATCAATGCAAAATAGAGTTACATTGTAATGGAAGAGAATATACAAGAATAAATTTAGAAAAAGAAACAATGCAAGATTCACCACAAGAGACGGTAAAATTTAGTGGTGGATATGTAATGGTGTGGGGTTGAATCAAACGCGATGGTAAAAGAATTTTGGTAAAAGTTGATAGAAATCTAAACAGCGAAAACTATATTAGTTTAGTACTGTCTTTTTCTGCCATATTACGAAGATGGATAACTCTTGCAGCATGATGGTACCCCTTGCCACATATTACTTGCATCAAAATTGTTTCTTGTGGATGAAGATGTTCAACTTTTGGGAAACTGATTACCACACAGTCCTGATCTCAATCTCATGGAAGCATTTTGGTTGGAAATGAAGAAACAAGTGCTCCAAAGAAAACCACGCAATCTCCAAAGAATTTGGGATTACTTTCAAGAAGAATGGGAATAAATTCCCAATGAGAAAATCGGAATCTTGTTCCATTCAGTGCCACGTCGAATCATTGCAATTATTTGAAACTAAAGGCAGCAACACTAATTATTAACTCAGCACTTTGACATTTTGTACTTTCTGTAATAATAAAGATCACTTTTTTGCAAAAAAAAAAGAAAAAAAAAAAGAAGCTGAATGTGAATTTTCTACTGATGGCCCTTTTATTTGCATGTCCCTTACTCTGTCATCCACCATGCAGCATTAACGAAAATGCAGAAATTTGTTTTCTGGGCCTCAAAGATCATAAAATGTATTGAGAAAACCTTACTGCTAATCACTCCTGATGTGAGGGTAAAATTAACAAATAAACTTGCTAAGATTTCCCGAAGGTTTTGTAAGCCATTGCATATTGTTCCATACACAGTCCGTCTGAACTTATTATGCAAATCCCATAAGCCTCAATAACTTCAATTTGTTTTGAGCAATTTTTGTCAAATTAAAAATAAAACGTGTTGAAACTAATTAAAAATTTAACTCAAGCTTTGTTTTGACTTCTAAATTAATTGTTCAAAATTTGACAGAAATTGTTCAAAAGAAATTCGAATTATTGAGATTTATCAGATTTCTATAACTTCAAACGAACTATAATTCGAGTTTTTCTAATATTTCAAGAATTCTTCATGTTGTAAGTTATCGAAAGCCATTATACAATCCATGAAGCATGAATACAGATAATCCTGTATTTCTATGGGTAATAATGAAAGTATATTAACCATAAAGATTTCCTTTCTTATTCCAGTGTCTTGAATACTGTTTTATTATATTGATTGAAAAGCGATTATTTGTTTGATCCTTTCTGTTGCAGGCAATCATTCTCGAAGCACATTTTGATTCGGGTTCTAATGAATTTATTGCTGTGAAAAACATACTGGAAGGTAAGTTTGTCTCAGGCGAATTTTGTCAGGAAAATGCGCCACTCGGTGCTGATCTTCATATTCAATTTTATTCCTAAATATC